TTCGGGGCTGCATTACAATATTGATTGTTCGGATCACTGGTATCTAAGTCTTCCGCTACGCTATCTTGTACTTTGTGAGAGAGGTCGGTTCTTGTTCTGGTCTGCACCGTTACGGTATGCGACATCCCGACTGTTATCATGGACTGTTTTCAGTGCATGACTACGTGGCGGCGTGGCGCATACATACTGTTTTCACTTTGTCTTTACACGTACGCTGTGTGTAGCACAGTGCAAAAGTTGCTCCTCCCACCGGCCCCCCCCCCTTCCTCCTTCCCCCGCCGTTTACCCCAAAAGAAAGAAAAACGTGAAAAAAGCTTTACAAAAACTTAGAAAAAAACCTCGATTAAAAAAAAAAAAAAATCCCCTCCCCACCCTGAGAGAAAGAAAAACTTGAGAAAAGCCTAAAAAACAAAACAGAAAAAAAAAACAAGTTTTAAAAACTGAAAAAACAGGCAGTAGCCGTTCTAAGCAACTTACCTCAGTCATAAACAGTAGTTAGTTGGAAAGTTATGCAAGGCTCAAGGCCTCGATCTGCCCTACTGGGCCCTATTTTCTGTACAGTCGGCCGCCCTAAGTGAAGGCAGGCTCGACTTAGGGCCTACAGGCCTATTTTGGGGTCACCACGCAACTGGGTAAATGCAGGCAGTTGCGCAGCGCCAGTTGGTTGAGAGCGCCCAGGCCCGGGCTGCCTCTTTTTGAATGTAACTGAGGCAGGCCCTGGGCCAGATTCGCATCATGGACCGAAAACAGGCTGCGGGCAGTCGTACACGGGCAACCACCACAGGCCCACGGCCTGATTCGTTTGAACTGGGGCTCAGCCTCCCTGGGCCTACCGGAAGCTTCTGGGCAGGGGCCCAGCGCAGCCAGGCTGCACGCAAGGCAGGCAGGCAGGCCACTTCCATTTAGGAAAGTGCCTGCCTACGCATTGGGCATTCGGGCACTGGTTGCATGCTGCGCAAGCGCTGCTTCGCTAACGCTGGCCAGAGCTCACGCGCTCACGGGCGAGCCTGGAAGGAGCAGGCAGCCATAGCCGAGCTGCGCTGCTGTAAGCTGGATGGGGCGCATGGTGGTCCTTGGGTGCACGTGGCATCTGTGAGTTGGGGAACGAGGTTACGAGTGAGGTGAAAGACATACCTGGTGCTTGAGGCGAACGGCATTGGCCGAGATCTGCTCATACTTCGGGGAGCTGTTGACTTCACCAGCGGCATTGTAGATAGGCTAGTCTATGATAGGATCTGCCATTTGTAGTCTGGGCGCAGAGCGCCAGATAGGATGTCGACATTGGTTCTTTGTTGATGATGATGAGACTATTCGAACATTGTCACTTATGAGCTTTTGCTGTGCTCTTATTTGTTGGGACTCGTGATGCAATTCTGCTTTTTGGTTCGAGGTCACGACGTGACTACTATCTGGTCTCATGTGTATGATGCTGTGTGGTTTCTGAAGTTCGCTATCGCTCATTTTCCTTGCAGTTAGAACGGCAGCTGATGACTGTAACATCAACAATTAGCATAGCATTATCACTGTAGGGCCTCCCTCCACTACTCACCAAATGTGCAAAATGAGAACGAATCTTCACCTAGAACATGGAAAGATACACCCGGTCCGCCATTGTTTTTGTCTTTTGTGCATGTGAGTGAGTAGCGGAGCAAGGCCCATATCCACACAGGTCCTGTGCAATGACCGCAGACTTCCTGTAATTCAAATCAACATCTCATGCCACACCGAGTCGACTTGCATGCTTCAGCACAGAAGAGACAAAAACCGAAGCTCACGCCACAAGAGCTCAGATTATCCGTAAATCAAGGCTTATGAAAACAACTTTGAGGGAAAAAAAAAAAAAAAAAGCTGGAAAAATCTTTGTGCATCCCGGCTGGACGGCTATGGCCACCAGCAAGCAACAACCAAGAATATGAATGAATGAACTTCTCTTGATCTCTCATGCTCGACTATCTCCCTCTCCGAATGCCTTCTCTCTTTCTTGCGTATAGTACACAATATATATATATATATATATATCGTCACATATATCGTCACAATATCGTCAAACAGAACTGCCCGGTAAACCGTAGGCAGAGAGGGAGAAGAGGATATATATATATATATCGTCACAAACAGAACTGCCCGGTAAACCGTAGGCAGAGAGAGAGAAGAGGACAACAAACGAGGGGCTGTGACAAAATGTTTCGTCGGAGTATAT